AATAAAGAACAATTATGATCTAAAGGGTATCAAAAATTTACAAAAAAAAAAAAGCTTAATATTTATTTGTTTACTTTTATTAAACATTTCTTTCTTTCAATGTAAGTTGTTTAAGATGCTTCGTTTTTTATGTGATAATACATTCTCTTTAATTCTATAAACAGACATATTTTCTTGTTCAGTTACAAAGTTCCGCTGTTCAAGTCCTATAATTCTTGTGTCGAGAATACCGACTAATTTGTCAATCAAAATTTTTTCGTTTTCAATAACATCTGTCACTTTCTTCCCTATCGGAATTTGATTTAAATCATATCAAAGACGGAGTACATCATCCAGATGAAATACTACATTTAGTAAGGAATTATAAGCCAAATAAAATAAAAACATCTGCCCTGAAGATAAGGATAGTGCTGACAGATCAACTTCCAATTCATTGCGCACCCGCCGCGGCGTTAAAGATAAACAAAGTTTAGATAAACAAAGGATATGCCTTTATCCATTTTTTGCAGCAATTCCACTTTTTGTTTAATGAACTTCGAAACATACTTTCGCTTTGTAGATCCTTTACATATTAGTAAATATATATCAGAAATTCTATTTGACATAATCGAAAGTTCAAGCTTACTTTTATAAAATTGCTCTAACAGTCTGCAAAAAATAATAAGCCGGATCCAATTCGAAGATTAAGGAACAACGCAATCTGCAACATTAACTGAAATAGATAATTAGCTTTTTTAGCTTACATTATAACGCGCATCGTAAACGTATTTTGCGCACGCGCACAAGCTTATTCGCAGCCGTAAAGGTCTTACGCGCATGCGTCAATGTGACGTTTGTAGCTTTCAGGTCCGGATTATAGATCATTCCGGATTATGGGTGTCCGAATTAACGACTTTTGACTGTACTTCCTTTCATCCTCGTTCCACAACGACAATTAGCCAGAAATTAATTTCCTTTCACTAATCAGTATAATGTCATAATTTTAACGGATGCATTTACACTCGTAGAAGAGCTACACAACCGCTTCCCTCCCGTCCCACATTCCAAAAGTATCTTCTCAAAAGTTACCACCTGTAATAATTCAAAGGGTCCCTACTGCTGCTCTCTGCGTCGGTAGCATACCAGACTCAGACTTGCCAAGTCTCCCGATTTAGGCGGGAGATTCCCGATTTTTGACCGCTCTCCCGCCAACCCAATTTACAATATATTTCTCCCGACTTTTTCTTATTCTTAAAATTTCTCATGATTTTTATGGAACTTGGCTTAATACTTTGTTATATGAACAAAAAAAGTGATTTTGGACGTCTGAAGCAAATGAATTTTCTCTAGATTATATCTAAAACAAAACCTTGCGAATTAGATAACTCCTGTATTGTGAGTGAGAGCATATACGTATCCAGAAACGTCCTTCTCCAGTTCTCGAATGGGCATCGTGCTCCACTGCGTGTCATCTGGCATATATTAGCCAATGAGGACAAAACAAGCTGTTATTTGGATGTTCTTTAGTTATTTCGGTCATTTTGTCCTGAGTTGTGTGAGTACACGTGCCTTCGGGAAATGGTTTTATAAATTATCATCTTTTATTATGTCTGTGGGAAAGGTGAAATACTTGTGTACGTTTCAAAAATCGTACACAGTTGACTTTCCTTCCATTATTTCCTCAAGGAAATGTAATAAATTTGCGATGTGTACCGCCTGTCGTTGCGATTTTTCGATTTCGCATGGTGGAAGGGTGGATGTTCTCAAACATGTGCGTACACAAAAACACAAGGGCAACATAAGTTGTTTTGAAAAAAAAAAAAAAAAAAACCGAAAAAAAAAATTTTTCTTCGGAAACAAAGGACCAAAAAGTTATTAATGCAGAATGTCTGTTCTCTGCCTTTTTACTGGAGCACAACCTGCCACTGAATGCATCGGATCACACTGCAGCTTTATTTAGAAAAATGTTTCCCGATAGTGAAATCGCTAAGAAATACTTCAAAGCAAGAACCAAAAGAGGTGCAATTGTTAAAGAAATGGATTTGAAAAATAAATCTTCAGTTATTGATTGCATTAAAACAGCTCCGTTCTGCCTCTGTACGGATGGAATCAATAATACCGATTCAAAATTGTATCCAATTGTTGTTTCTTTTTTTAATCCAGAGTCTTCAGAAATTGAGTGCAGTTTACTTTCTGTCCGCACTTTAGAAGGACATTTGACAGGCTTTAATATAGCAGAGCTAATTATTAAAACTTTAAAAGAAAATGCAGTCCCTCTGGATAATTGCTTAGCACTTGGTGCTGGTAATGCACCAGTATTGGTAGGCTTGAAGACTGGTGTTGCGGGCATCTTCAGAAAAGAAAATTCAGATTTGCAGATTATGAGGTGCACCTGTCACCTCTTAAATTTAGCAGCTGAAAAAGGAGTAGCTTCTTTACCAATAAATGTGGATGAACACATTGTTGATATTTATTATTATCTTGAAAGGAGTTCTAAAAAGGAAGAAAAATTGAAACAGGTCCAACAGCTGCACAACAGCAGTTTACAATTAGAAAACTTGGATGAAGTTATAAAATCAGCTAGGATTGACACCCAGTGGAGTTTAATTGGAAAACTGAAAGATGCTGATGGAATTTTAAAATATAGTGAACTGTCTAGAATTATGTTGGCCATCTTGACAGCTCCCCATAGTAATGCAGAGTGTGAGAGGATTTTCAGTGTTGTTGCAAAAACAAGGACGAAATTTAGATCTAATATTAGTGACGACACATTAGAAAACTTTTATTAGTGAAAGCAGGCTTACGTGGCAATTGCTATGAACAAAATTATGAAGTTTCTTTCTTAAAGAAAGCAAAATCTGCCACTGTTTATACCATTTGTACAAAAACTGATTAAAGGTGGGGGTTTTTTTTTTTTTTTTTTTTTTTTTTTTTTGTTTTCTTAAACGATGCAAGTAATAAAAATGTTTTTTATGTGTAAGGTATTTTTGTGTTGCTTGCATTTAAGAATTAGTTACTATTTAAAGTTAATTTTTTATTAAAAACTATGTTTTCATCATTTAAAAAGTCTTTTTAACATTGTGAAAAATCTCCCGATTTCTTTAAAAAATCTCCTGATTTTTGAGTGTCATAGGTTGCAAGTATGCAGACTCTTTCTGAGTAAGGAAACAGATGCAAACACTTCACTGTCTTCCCACTAGAAAAAACGCAAGTTAATTAATTCGTATTCTGGCCTTTTATGTATATTATGTACATTTAAATTTGTACATTTCCTTGTACCTTATTTTATAAATATCTTTCAATTTTTCAACTTCTTTTTCATTAATTTTTGCAATGATTGAATTACAGCCAAAAGTCGTTAATCCGAACTCGTCGGGACTTTGGCAATTCCGGATTATCGATTTTTCCGGATTATAGATCATCTGTTTAAATCTGGTAAGATGGCATGCAGAAATTATAAAATTAAAAATATGAAGCCATAATTTATGAAATAAAGAACAATTATGATCTAAAGGGTATCAAAATTTACAAAAAAAAGCTTAATATTTATTTAATTTAAATGATATGAAAGATGGAGTACATCGAGATGAAATACTACATTTAGTAATGAATTATAAGCCAAATAAAATAAAAACATCTGCCCTGAAGATAAGGATAGTGCTGACAGATCAACTTCCAATTCATTGCGCGCCGTGGCGTCCCCCCGCCGCAGATAAACAGATTGATAAACAGATTTCGGAATGGATAGATAAACAAAGGATATGCCTTTATCCATTTTTTGCAGCAATTCCACTTTTTGTTTAATGGACTTCGAAACATACTTTCGCTTTGTAGATCCTTTACATATTAGTAAATATATATTGGAAATTCTATTTGACATAATCGAAAGTTCAAGCTTACTTTTATAAAATTGCTCTAACAGTCTTCAAAAAGTAATAAGCCGGATCCAAGTCGAAGATTAAGAAACAACGCAATTTGCAACATTAACTGAATTAGATAATTTTAGCTTAGCTTTTACTGTCCATTATACATTAAACGTGCATGCGTAAACTTATTTTGAGCATGCGCACACGCATATTCGCAGATGTAAAGTTCTTACGCGCATGCGTCAATGTGATGCATGCGCAGTAAGTTTGTAGCTTTGAGGTCCGGATAATAGATCATTCCGGATTATGGATGTCCGAATTAACAACTTTTGACTGTATTTATTATGTTTATAACAATAACTTTGAATTCTGTTTAATAAATATGGCAAGGATTAAATTCTGTTTATGTTTATAAAAATAGCTTTGATTTAACATGCATGAAAGCGAGGGTGTCGGGGGGGGCACTTTACTCAAGTAAAATGTAAACGATTTTTACTAAATCTAGCAGAGAAATTTTATTATTACTGCTCAATTTGGCAATAATATCGCAAGATTTCAAAAAAATTCATTAACTTAATGGAACTGTTGCATTCATAATGAATTCTTTATAGTACTTCACTTTAATTCATCTGATTTTAATCTTGCTAATTTGGATTAAAACTCAACTCACAAGTTTGGCTTAAACTCAAATTGCCAGTTTGGCATCATACTTGTTACTTGAGTAAAAGATGAAACATCTTCGCATTTATTAATTATTGTTATTTGAACGGGGATTGGTTTGTTCCCTTTGAAAAGTCAACCAATTTCCAATCAGTGACAATAATTACTTAGTTATTAATTTTCAATTTAAAAGTTTCCATTTCTATTTTTCATGATTAAGATTCAATTTACCTTTAAAAATGCTATTAGGAGATAATATAGTCAATATTACTTTAGTATGTAAATTATTATTATATTACTTATATTATATATACCAACAAAAGGAATGAAGAAATGTAGAACACTTTTTATTTACGTTATGAATAATTTGGATTAGAAATAAATTGGAAAGAAGATTTGTTAATGTCTTCCATAGCTCTTTCAAATTTGTAATTGAATTTCATTTGTTAAGTGTCCATTATAATTATATAAATTTAAGACTTAAAAAATTTGCAGACTGCACCACCTTTGATTGGCCGTTTTGTTCCGTTCTGTGCTGTTGCTGCTGCAAATTGTGTTAACATTCCAATGATGCGGCTAAAGTAAGTGTCCCCTTTTTAAAAAAAAAATTTACTTGATTTAGTCATTTACTGAATTATTGTATATTGGGTATGCATAGCAAAAGTTGCCAGATTCAAGTACAGTAGAAGTCTACTTGTTGGAGTAGCATTTTCTTTAAAGTCTTTAACCCTTTGACTACTAATGGGACATGTATGTCCCACTAAAAGTTTAAAAATTACCACTGGGTTAGAAAGTATTTCGAATCTCCTGAATGCTGGAATCATCTTCTGAATAGTTAGAAAATCAAGACACTGATGTGCTTGTTGTACACAAATGAACAGAGAGAAATAAACAAACTTGAGTTGCCCAATGTATAATGCTGGATTATGCAAAGACTGCTTTACCCTGTACCATATGATGTAAAATCTGTTTCATATATAATAAAGTTTTCCAGAGTAATAATAAGTGTGTTTATAGTCAATCACTATGCGTGGGACATATGTATCCCACCATTAACTATGGCTGGGACATATGTGTTCCATCCTTTCTTTGGCTTGAAAACCATTTGTCTAAAAATCCCAAATGCTAAATTTACCTTATTTATGTCATATTTTGCTCACTTGGATAGAAAACAGGGTAATTTTTTTTTAAATTCATATTCAAAGGGTTAAATTAAGTGTACTGTTTTTAAGCCTTTGATAAAAGTTTTTTTTAACAAAATGTTTTCATTTTTGGAGAATTTTTTATCATTGAGAAAAGTATTTCTTTTTTTAAGTATAAAGTATACAATTTTTACTGAGTTAATGCCTCCCAAAAGAAGGCTAATTTTTTGTGTTTCTGAAGGGCAAAATTAATATCATCAACACATTGAAAAAGTTTAAACTTGAGCTAAACCTGCAGATATCAAAGCTGAGATATCTGAAATTTTAGCTATGAATAGAAGCTGAAAAAATTTTTAAACATGTCTATTTTATTTTTTTTTTTCAGTTGCATAATTATGGTTCAAGTAAAACATGATGAAAGAAGTCCAGGACTTAGAAGAGAAGGGCTAGCTCATAGAGCTTTTCCCCCTGAAGCAGAAAGTGAGAAGTGATGACGTAGTCATGATGACACTGAGTGCGCAGATGCAATTCATAGTTTGGAAATTAGCGTTTTTGAACCAGCGTTTAAAATGAGCTGTGTGTGAAAGATAGCTATAATTTGGAAGAAACAGTGTTACTGCTTTATGCATTTTAGACTGAACCATTAAAAAATTTAATGATACTTACTCAATTTTAAAATAATTGATAAAATGTGCTACTCTTTTAACATAAAGTTCCGTGGTTTTTTTTAATTTTTATTTGCAGGTTTTTTTATTTAATGCACGTTTATTTCTTATCATTTCTTTATCTGCATGTTAACTGAGAGAATATGTATACTGCTTCTAAGATAACTATAATATTAGTAGCTGTTTAAATTTACTCAAAAAACAATTTTACATTGACATAGTTTTAAACATATATGACATATATGGCAAAATTTCTGCTAACCTACATTTGATATTTTGCCTAATTGTAAATTTTACATTCTTATAATTCTCTTCCGATTCAATATAATAATAGATATTTTTAAATAATTTTGTAATTTATACTTGTATCTATATTACAATTAAATAAATGTATGCAAGATTGTTACCTTAATTTTGACAAAATAGCTTTACTCAGAGTACCTAATACAATTATTTAATTTTTAAAAAGCATGAGTAAAGGAAGCAGTTCTTTTTATGCCAATTACTGTGATGTTTTACACTATTATATTTTATCTAGAATGCTAATCTAGCACAAAATCTAATCAATAGTTAGTTACAAAGGATACAATAAGAACAACTTTAACAAGTACTTAACAAAATTAATTTGTTAAATACTTGTTATTCTTGTTTTACTATTTTGGTACTATTCATAATACCGAAGATATTATCGATTAACTCATATAAGTCAGACGTTTTTTGATTTCCTGGTGGGTGGAGTATACCTTTTGCAGTACTTTTTGAAAATAATGTTTTCTCTGGAGCGACCTTTTGTCTCTCGTTTCCCTTGACCATAAAATAATTCAGTTTTAGTTTGTGACACAATTTGATTTCTTCTCAATCTCTATTTAAAACCTCTTTAATAATATCAAAATTTAAAACAGTTCCATCTTCTAAAACAAATCCTTTATCTAAAACGTGGTTTCTCAGTCATTTGAGGCAGAGCGCGAAATGAGACCTCTGATTAAAACAAACTGCACATATTGAAAAGAACCATGAACTTGGTCCAGTTTAGAGTCATAGCAGAGTTTTTAATCTATATGCACTTCGTCGAAAGTGAGAACGCATATTTTTTCTACAGAATACAAATATTCGCCTCTTTCCTTCTTTAGAGTAAGAACATCACTTTGAATTCTTGGACTACACTAAAATTTAGCGCACCATTTCTTTAATTTGCTAAAACTATGGTAAAGATATTCCAGTTTTTTTCTTAATTTTTTTTCTTTCCAAAAATCATAGCTTTAAGATGACAGAGCTCTTATGACAATGCAACGTGAAATATCTTCACTAGTCCACCTGATTTTTTCCTTCTTTTTCAGTAATACATTAATCTGCGTCTTTATAAAAATAGGCTTTAGACATTTTTTCAAATTCTCCGATTTGTGCTTCTCTCCCCCCCAAAAAAATCTCGCTATTTGAGATTTTAATATCTGATACCAATTTCTGTCTAGATGTCGTCCACCTTCTTTGCCGCTGAACAAACATTCTAAAATTTTTCTTTTCTCTATTTTTCAATACTTTAATACAATTTTCTAAGGATATTATTTTGTTCTTCAAATTATCAATGCATTCTTGTTTATCCTTAAACTTAGGGCATTCAGGAATATCTACATTTTCATTTGTGAGTTTTATTTCAAAATCATTAAAATTTGATTTACTATTGTCATCATCAATTTCAATTTATTATTATGCGTGCGATCTTGCAGCATCGACTGATCACTGTCTTCACCAAAGGAACTCAATAGGAATTGTTTTACTGGATTTTCATAGTGTGGTGGTTCGGCATCATGCATAAAGCCATATAAGAGTCTTCTGGGTGTTGATATCCCCATGTAGTATGAAGTGCACCTCATCTGCCTAGAAAACGTTGAACAATCACTGAGGATCGCTTCAATTCTTGCCAGAAGCCACTCGGCAAATGATTCCATCATAGCTGTGTCTTCTAGTTGTAACTCATGCAGTGACTGCAGTTTGTAGGGAGAGAGATCGGATATCCCATGAAGAATATGTCAAACCTAGTTTTGTGAGCCCTGCTATTCCCCATGGACAATTCCGCCGCTTTATTATTCATAGTGGTTTCCATACCTCAGTAATTCGGCCCTCCGTCAACGAGGACCTCAACTTCATGGCCGATCTTCCAAAACACCAGTTTCTTTGAACCATTTGAGAAGCTTTAGTATTCCAGAACGTAATATGGGGTAATTCCTCATCTTCAATCCTTTCGCCATGCAAAATTTTCACAATGTAACAGTTGCTGACTCTTTATTCAAACAGAATGACTTCACGAACATCATTTTGAAAGCGAAAGAGAAATCCTTGTGTATTACATGGATTTCAACAATTTCCAAATTTTAGATTGCCGGTTTAAATCAAAAGATGACACGTAGAAATTATACAATTAAAAATATGAAACAGTTGTTTTTCATCCATAATGACATTTAGTGCATAATTAAGTATTTGTGATCTTAAGGGAATCAAAATTTATTTAAAAAAAAAAAAAAGCTCAGTATTTATTTGTTTTATAAAATTTTTCTTTCAGTGTAAGTTGTTTAAGCTGTTTCATTTTTTTGTACTAATACATTCTGTTTGATTTTATAAACGAACATAATTTCTTGTTCAGTTACTAAATTTCATTGTTCAAGTGCTGTATTGAGAATTCCCACTAAGCTGTTAATCGAAATCTTTTTATTCTCAGCAACCTTCTAGTCACATTATTCGTTATCAGAAGCAATATTTTCTGCATCTAAAATTGTGTTAAAGATTTGGCTATCCATTAGTTGACTGACTGCAATAGAAAACTTGTGTTATATCATTTTCATTTATTATCACTTCTTCGTCTTTCTCCATAAATTCCATTAAATGGAAAATTTTGCCTGTTGCTTTTAAATGCCTCTGAAAAATGAGATTCATAGCTATCATCATCACCATTATTATCGCAACTACAAAATATGGTATCTACAAATTTAGCCATGAATTATACAAACATTAAAAAAAATATTTGCACTCACATCCTCTAGTGACCTTACAGTGCTCCACACAGTAGATTATATGTTAAAATACGAGGGCCATCCAGGAAGTAGATTACGTTTCCGTCTGTGTCCGCTAGGGGCGGGGCTAGCGCGGCCATCTTGGGGTCAGAGCGTTGCGCAGCTCAGTCTGCATCTAGCCGTGCTAGTGAGAGGTTCGTGCTGTGCTCCGTTCAGATACTGTGACGGTTTGAAATGTCTGCGTTAATTGAAAATCCCGCGAGCTGCGAGGTGCGCTCAGTAATAAGGTTTCTGACTGCAAAAAACTGTAAACCGATAGAAATCTATCGGCAGCTTCGTGAAGTGTATGGGGACAACATTATCACTGAAGGTGGAGTGCGTCAGTGGGTCATAAGATTTCAAAATGGCCGAACCAATGTTCACGACGAAGATCGAAGTGGGAGACCCAGCATAGTGACCGCCGCCGAACTTCTCGAAAAAGTCGATGCTAAAGTCCGTGAAAATCGAAATTTCACAATAACGGAACTTTCTTTGAGTTTTCCACAAATTTCGCGAAGTTTGTTGCACGAAATCATCAGCGAAAAGCTTGGTTACCACAAGTTTTTGTGCAAGATGGAAGGCAAGAAGAGGTAACGAAGTGGTTGAAGGTGCAGGCGGCCGAATTTTTCGACGAAGGAATTTCCAAGCTCGTACATCGCTACGATAAATGCCTTAATTTGTATGGTGACTATGTAGAAAAGTAGTATTTGAGTGTGGCTTTCATCTGTAT